CGCTTCAATCTTCGCAGTGTTTTGCTTGATTTCCAATCGTTTACTGAAAAGCCTGTTTTTGAGTGTGCTTTTGCTCATCGTATGATATTATTTTTATCATATTTGATTGAAAACAGTATGGATCGCATCTCTGTGATATGCAAATTAGCTATGAAATGGTATCTAATGCGCATGTGCTCCAGCTGACTGTGTCCCCTTAAAGTGTCTCACGACCGGTTTAGATGCATTTTTGTCGTCTTTCTCTCCATCATGAAGGTGTTTTCGGAATTGGTCGCCTAGTCGTCTCCCTGTTTCGCCAATGTATAACTTTTTGCAAAGAGTGCAAGTTATGCAGTAGACAACATTGGCTGAGGTACAGGTGAAATGATCAGTGATCTTGATGGATCGCATGGGTCCCGATGCGATAATGTACCTTATACATTACTATGTAAACATTTTCAGACTTTGTCAATCCTTAAACTCTTGCCGTTTTCTACAATTTGTGCAAACAAAATTATTATGTAGCCAGTGGAACCCTTCTCTACAGACAGTCGCTTAATATGGACACCCACTTATTGTGGACATAATAAATATTTGAACGATATTATAAATTGCTCTCTTGGTTTTTTTTTTGCACAGGTGTTTCTGTAAGGAATAAGAGTGAAAAGAAAATATAAAGCTTTATTGACCAAGCATGAAATCTAGATGGCTGGATATTGGCCAAGTTCTTTTTTTGCATGTTTGTGGGTGGAGATGCAAAAAGAAACAAGGCCAATATCCAGCCACGTTGACCAAACAAGCTTGGTCAACAAAGGGTTTACCGGTATTATATGTGATAAAGAACAGACGTTTTTGCAGGACACAGTGTGTAATCCTGAGTGGGCAAGATAGCGCCCTCTTGCCCACTCCGGTAGCCAATCACAGCACAGGATTTGGTTCATCCTGCCCACTCAAGTAGCTAGCCATATAATAATAATAAAGAATACTAGCCTTCACTCGAGGGACCTGAAACATGATCAAGTCTATAGATGTTTTGTTCAGTTTGACAGCTCTAGCAAACTCCACTTCCTTTATGTTACATACTGTCTTTGGCATGAAGGCCACTGCCTGTGTCAACACAGTGAAACAATGCATGGATAACTTGAAATAACTGCAATCTTCATAGTCATGCACTGTTATGTACATATACAGCAGCAAGCATCCTCCAATGCATAAGGCAAGAAAAACATGTGATACAACACAGCATTCTCCTTTGGTTGTGTCACAATGAAAATGTGTTGTTCTAGAAAATATTAATACCACTCCCATGAAAAGTTTTGTAGTTTGACCCCCCCCCCCCCCCCCCCCNTCTTTCTTGGGGTGGGTATGGATATTTTCTGGAACTGCACAATAAGACTGAGTGAACAAAGATTCAACCAAAGACAACAAATGGCTTTCACACTAATTCACCTGAAGCATACATCATGTAGACCTACATGAAGCATATTAACTTTATTTAGCAAAATACCAACAAAACACATTTTAAGAGCAAACTATGAACTGTGGTTGTGCAGGGATTTGCGCGACCTTGAGAAATTTTGATGTTTAAGTGTACATATTGAGGAATTCAGTTTCTGAAAATACAGATGACAGGAAACAAGGACATCTTGACCACATATGACCAATTTGTAAAATAATAACACTGAATGTCGGTAAATTACCTGATAAGGTTCTTTTGTCCTGTAGTTTGACAATTCAAAGATATGAGGTGGTTCGTCACTGATTTCATAGGCAAAAATTGTAGTCTCACCCTAAAAATTGAGCAAATAGCTTTGTAGATCAACCCATGAATCGCCAGCCTTACTCTGAACAAATTTAAGATGACAACCTATCACAATGAGAGACCTGATTGTACTGGAGCCAAGAAAATCATTTACCTTCAAATTCACCATGAATCAAAATCAATTAGAGCTTGACTGTGCCCATTTTGCCAGAGGAAGCAGAGTGCCAAAATACATGTTTGAATATAGCCTGGGGCTGGTGGATTTTGCATTCAGGTTTAGTAGATTTTCTCCTGCACTTCCCCAAAGGGCTAGTGAAGTTTCTTAGGGAAATTGGTATGGAAATTCAAATTACAGACGTACTGTAAAGTAAGAGATTAGAAAATCCAATAGAAAATTGAGCAATTTCAGGTTTTAGTGGACCAAAATCTGGTACCAGAATAATTTTAAGTATTTTACAGTCATTTTTAGATTTACTTAAAGGTAAACACATAATTGCCTGAAATAACACCGAAAACAATTTTCCATGGGAACGAGAGAAAATGAATTTCAAAGTTCAGAGAACTTGCACAAACACAGGCAAAATTTCATCATCAGTTTCATTTTTGTACGTTTGGTGTTGCTAAAAATGATTTTTTTTGAGGAGATATTTAAAACAGTCATACAGAAGTTTGCAATACGATGAAAATAATCTTGGTACTAGGTTTTTGTCCACTCGTTACTCAAACTTCTGGTGGATTCCGTCTTAAATTCTGTGGGGCTAGCGAAAATGACTTTTGGACTGATACATCATAGTTACAGCTTGCCAGAACAGTAAGCCTGAAAATTGGTTTTCCTTGCACCCTGGGAAGGGAAATAAAAGTGGCTTTACACCACCCCCCCCCCCCNGTGTTTCCTACGAAGTTCAACAATTCGTTTAAGACGTTTTGGTGTTGTTGGAAATGATTTTTTTTTGAGAAGATATTTAAAACAGTCGTACAGAAGTTTGCAATACGATGTAAATAATCTTGGTATTAGGTTTTTGTCCACTCGTTACTCGAACTTCTGGTGGATTCTGTCTTAAATTCTAAAGCAACTATTTTACCGATTAAGAAATCCGAAGGAGTCATGTGCAGGTGACGTATCCCAGGCAAAGACCAGTCCTATGATAGCTTATCATGGGAAGGAATCATGAAGGCCTAGGAAATAAGAGTGGCCCTACAACCCACCTCCCCACCCCCCCCCCCAAAAAAAAACCGGCTGGCGACTCTATATGGTAACACAACTATAGTTCAGAAATCAATGATTTTCACACCTTAGCAGAGAGAAAGATGACAGAAGAGTCTTCATCATAGAAAGGAATCAATGTAGCTGGAGCCACATTGATTTCCACAGTTGACAAAACTTCAGACAGATTACGATGATCATACACACTGATGGTTCTGTTACTTGATCTGGTGAGCAAAAAGCGCACCATAACATTATTCACTCGACCAACTAAATTGCAGCTGTTAAATTAATGAAACACTGTACTAAGCCTATCAGATCTGTAAGCAAAATGATATAACCACTGTAACCAGTTCAACTGATTGGATGAAAAAACAGATGTTTGCTCTAACTGATAAGCTAAGACACCAGTAAAAAAAGTCAAAACAATTGATCAAACATGGAAAAGTCTGCATACAAGCCAAGTGGCCCATTGAGTCGAAGCTTATCCTGGTTTCTGTAGCATGAAGTGACTAGGAGACAGTATTTCTACTCCCCCCTGGATGGGATGCAAGTCCATCGCAGGGTTACCCCCAGCATTAAGTTCGCCAGTACCCATTTATACACCTGGGTGGAGAGAGGCACTGTGAGAGTAAAGTATCTTGTACAAGAACACAACACAACGTCCCCAGCCAGGACTTGAACCCGGACTGCTCGATCCGGAGTGCACTAACCAAAAGGCCACCGTGCCTCCAGCATTGACGAAACATGCAGAAAAGAAAACTTTCAAAATTCTTAGTTGTAAGGTAACTACTAGCAGCTACAGCAAGATAATAACAGTCAATAACTTCAGTGAATTACCTGCCAAATCCTGTAACCACTAACCAGTCCCCACTCGGCCCACCCCACACAACACGAGCACCACGACTCCCTTCAGGGCCTGGGCCTGTCTAAAACAATTTGCTGATGGTTAAACAATGAGCCAGGGAGGGAGGAGTAGAGGTAACTAATGGTAAGTGCAACAGGTGTCAAAATTGGCCTATTTTTCTCAAATGAACATACTTCTAGAGGAGACACTTGTGATCTTGGGTCAAATATTCTGACTTTGTTGTCTCTTGACACAGTGGCCAGCTTTGTTCCATCAGCTTTCCAATTCAAGCTGAACACCTGAAATCAGATTAGTTTCAGAAATTTTGTTTCAGCAAGAGTTTTGATAACAGCACTTGTTTTCTCAAAAGAAACATTAAACAAATTATATAAATAATTTTATTTATAGATGAATCATTAATCTAAGGGCAATATGCTAATAACCCATTTTACAGTTTAGTGATTAGGCCTTTGAGCAGACACAAGATAATTTTCCTATCATGAAACTTATCCTGTTATCTTTAGAACTGTATCTCTATCATCATAAGGTCAACCTAGACCTTGCTTTCATACAGAGGTTTGGTGACATTTCAGAGAACTGTAAAATGGACTACTGTTCAGTTCGGTTTTGTTATTGAATGAAGCCTTGGAGCCGACTGGTTTCTGTAGCATGGAGTGGCTAGGAGTATTTCTACTCCCCCTGGACAGGATGATAGTCCATCACAGGTCACTCCCCCGCAATTTGTTAGGTTTCCCTAAAAATTCGCCAGTACCCATTTATACTCCTGGGTGGAGAGAGGTACTGTGAGAGTTAAGTGTCTTGCCTAAGAACACAACACAGTGTCCCTGGCCAGGCCTCAAACCTGGACCACTTGATCCGGGGACGAGCGCACTAACCATGAGGCCACCGCGCCTCCACAGTTTCGTTATTACCGTAATATTAAATGATAAATACAAAGTTCAGTTTTAGTATTGTGTTAATATGGACCCTGCCTAACACTGGGTGATAAACAGCAAATATAGCAGAGATGTTGCCAACCTGCTCATTGTGTCCATTTAAAGTGATTAAGGCCTTGGCTTTGTTGACATCCCATATTTTAACTGTTAAATCCAACGCTGAGGATGCCAGCACACCACTTGCTGTGGGATGGTACTTGACTATGTTTGGTTTGTCATAATGACCTGAGACACAACAATAGAGCTGTTATCAGCTTAGTGTCCAAAGCAATCCAGAACATTGTTATCATATACCATGGTGGAGATAGATGGCAGTTTAAACTTACTCCCATGTTCTGTTTGCTATCTATTACTGTAGCTAACAAAATTTGAGGGATATAATATTGGAAATAAAATAACATCAGTGTTAAGTCTCACCACATGACCCAGCCCCTTTAAGCCTGCAAGCAGACAGACAGACAGACAAACAATCTCACTGACTGTCAGATAAAAAATAATAAAGAAGTGACAGTGTAGCCAGATACTAAGTTTGACATTTACCTTTTAAAACCACAGAAGGACTATTGATAACGTCTGTTAATCCACCATCAGGAACTTCCCATATATAGATAAAACCACTCTCACAGGCTGAAAGATGCAAGGGCAGTTTATATTCACCTGATAACATTTTCAACATTGCATAACTACAAGTACCACAAAGGTCCGAACATTATTCACTTCCTGTTATTGTGACATTCAGGTACATAAGGGTAAAGCCAATTTAATGTTCAAAGTAGAAAACAAATAACAATGAAAATTGAAGGAATTAGACTGTCGAGGTGTAAATGATGAGACTTGTTACAGAAAAATTTATTACTGAACAAAGTGAATGTACTTTGTATGATCCTTCCAGTAGTACATGTGCTTCTTATTTCAGGTAGGGGAGAACTGTAGATACGCTATGCTCCATGGTAGAGTAAAGGGAATAAGACACAGTATTTTATGTCTGCATGTAACAGGATAAAAGTTATGATTTCAGCATGCATGCACAGTTGATGATAATTGACATCACTCAAATATATTCTTGTTTCAGCTTACCAGTTGCCAGTTGCTGTTTATTAAAAGGGTCCATTGCATAATCCATGACACCACTACCACACTGAATGACAGGCAGCCCTGAATCTGGCAGTCGGCAAGGCTTATTGAGCTGAAAAGTAGGCATGTTTGTTTACATTATTATAAAATGAACCAATTATGATTACATGTTCTTTGGCTTGGAGCAGGTACAATGATGGTTAGCTCATTACACAACATAGATTACACCAGATATTCTCTCTCTATAGCTGTTAGGTGGCTTCATATACTGGTAGTTACTTTAACCTTAGGGTGCAGGGTTTGAATTAACAAAAAATTTGGCCAGACTTATGCCAATCTTCGATTTCTTCTGAACTAAGAGTAATTATCACAGTGTGGCATGACCATAGCTTTTATTACTGGATTTTACTGTAGGTTATTATAGCAGGAAATGTAGTATCCTTTTGCTTTTTAACGACGCTGATTTTCTCAAAATCAAGTCAGCAACTTTGTATTCATCCATTATCATTTCATAGCATTGAAACTTACAGGAATTACAGCTATCTGCCCACCAGGTCCTGATAAAGGGAATGCAGCAAACTCCTGATTAACTTGAAATCCATCACAGTCTCCCGGCATAGATATGCTCAAGTTTCGTACATTCTCTATATTATTGCTTTTGTGCATGGGAGTGCCATGGAGGTGTCTGAACTTGGACGAACGCACACCAGTGAATGCCTTTCTTGGTCTTACAGGAGATTCTGCTGCAGGTTTACTGGCTGGAGTTGACTGTGCCACTACTTTGGAGGTCATATCTGTTGACATTTCTTTGGGCTCTGCTGCTGACTGTTCAGATACAAAGACGGTCAGCACTAGTGAATCAGATACTTTCTTTGTCTTTTGATGTGAAGGTGCAGTGGTCTTATGGAGTTATGGTTAGTACACTGGACTCAAGACTGAGAAATACAACATGACACTAAGTGCATTGATTTCCTGGGCAAGACATTGCACTCTCAGGCTCGCCCTTTCACCATGGGGCATATTAAATGGGTACTGCCAGGTTTTCGGTGGAAATGATAAAATGAAGGAGGATACCGGGCTGTGAAAGATTGGTACCCAATCCAGGGGACAGCAATTTGTCAACAAACAGATTAGCTTCTAATGCAACTGTTTTGCAACATTTGTGCACAAACAAAACACTTAGTTGCTTGTTGATTCAGACTTTCCTTTCTTTTAGTAGACTTGTAGAGTGTCCATGCCTTATTGCAGATAGTGCTTCTTTGGAACTCCATCCATTTTTTTTCTTGTTTCCATAACATTTTTGCTCAGGTTTTCAAAATATCAGTGACTTATAATGAATATTTTCAGGCTAGGATAAAGTTATCTAAACCAGACATTCCTATTATACTAGCTTTTCCTTTGCCTTTCTGTCATGAAAAAAAGAAATGAAAAAGAAGTTCCACCTTTTCTGGTGATGCACTGGCTTTCTCAGCTTCTATGGCAGGTTTTGGCTTCAGTGTAGGTTTTTGTGGTTTCTCAAGTGCTGTTTTTTGTTGTGCCTGTTGCTTTGATGGATTAAGAGAAACCTTCTTCATCTACAAAGAAACAAAACCATACAAAATGTTTGATTTCAATTATGCATCTCAAAGATGTAATTCTGTCTTTGATAAAATTCTTTGAAAGTAGAGGAACAAAGTATGTTTCATTTTAATCAAATCAATAATTTTGTAGCTTTTGAATATGGAAGCAAAATAATGTTGGCAACCAAACTTGTGATTTTGGTATCAGAGGGTAATCATCTTTTTAGTGAAAAAAAGCTAAGAGAAAAAGGACTCGAGCACAAGTAAAGTAACCAAAGAAATTGACGGTAAGTGATGTCCTAACTTACAGGATTATTAGATCCACTGAACCACTCATCAGCTGTCATGGATGCTTCTCTTGCCACAGTATCAGGGAACAAGTCTTCATGAAACTCTCTGTGAGACTTAGGACAAGATTTCAAAAAATTAAGGACCAAAATAATTGACAGTACCAAATGAATATATTTTTTGACCCAGAGTTGACATGTCAAGTTATCAGATTGAAGCTTTAGAGGATAAGAAACAACAAGCTCTGAATAACTTATTGATCATTCCTGTCATCATGTGACAGGATAAGGCACTAAAGGTGGATTAGCCGTGTCATTGGCCAAGAAGCTTCCATCACCAAGACCGCTCTATACTGGACACCAGATGGAAAGTGAAGGACAGGCCGCTCAAAGACCATGTTGCTGAGGATGGTGGAGAAAGAAATGAAGCAGATGGGGAAGATCTATCTGGAGCAGTATTCAAGTCATGGTAAAGGACCATAGATGTGGAAGGATTACATTGCTGCCCTACACACCAGCAAGTCGTGATGGGCATGAGTGAGTGAGTTATCCTGTGAGATTCCCTCCTGTTGACAAATATTCCCAGCCCATTTAAGATGTGTGGCTAATTTTTCTTTCGAGATGGCCAAGGCTATTCCAGGCTCTCTGAAAATTGGGAATTTGAAAAGACACCTTTCACTTGTCTTTCACCTCGCTGCCAAAAAGATAGTCTAAACAAGGTGAAATTACCTTTCTAGGTACGCAGTAACTGAGTGGCACCACAGATGATTTTGTCAATTGAAGAAGCCGCACCACTTCACATGCCATAACATTCAGGGCAAGTTTAGGAACACTGCACATCCCTTTGTGTTGTTCTTCCATAACCTGTGACGACACTGTATGGAACATGATCAAACAGTTGTTTTTACTAATAAAAGTGAAAATAAATAAATAAAAACAAATCAATAGATCTAGAGTTCAGTGGTAGACCTATGAGTTATCAAAAAGGGTCTTAAGTGGAGGTTGTTGACATCTTCAAAGGAATCAACACTGGTTCTATTGTCAATGTTAACCATGAACCTGTAGCAACTTGTTAGGTGACAAAAGACATTTTTCTCTTCACAGCATCAAAAAGCATTCAGCATCACAAGAGCCACAAATACTGAGCCATGAAGCAGGCTTACATGACTGTACACTTCAAATATCAATCTCTTGAAATATAATATACAATTAATGTGTGTAGATCAACACAATCCTACACTTAAGAATATTTAATATAATGAGAATAAATTTTTTCCTTCTCATCATCTGTCTCCTTGAGAATGAAAGTAACAAATCCAGAAGTGTAGCAGCTTGATCTCATAATTCTTTTGCTTGGTCATGATGTAGCAGCTGTTATTGTTATTGTTTTTGTTTTTGCTGCAACCCGACCAAATAAACTAAGCCTTAATTGCTAGTTGGAAGAATTGAATTATTACCTTGAGTAACAAAAGATGCAGCAGTGTCAGATATTTCCAAAAACTGAATAACTGAATCGCCCTAAACAAACACACAAATACAATAACAGACGCATTAAGGCCACATTTAATAGAATACTTTCAGTTTTTTTTTTCCTCTTCCTTCTTCTGTGCACTTTCTTGCAGGGTATTTTCTAACATGTCGTAATTGTTACACCCTGAGCATGACTTGTTTGAAAGCTTCTATGATAAAATTCTATTATCAAGGGTAATAATTAAACAAAAGAATGTCAATACCTTCCCAGCTAAAAACAACATGTTGGTGTCTGGATCAAAAAATGGCATCAGTATTCTGTGTGTAAGAAAGTTGTGTGGATAAGTGGCTGTGACATTTTTACATGACACGAATGTTCATTAATGGGACATTTAATAACAGAATGATGGATTTCATGCTCTGGTGACTGTTTGATAGTATTGACACAAGCCAATTCGGGTAGACACTTGGAGATATATTCTGATGGATCCGAAAGACACCTATCACGATTAAGGATAAATTTTGGTGCACTAACACAGTAAGTGATTCAGATTCAGGTGCCGGCCAAGGTAAATCCAGAAATTTATGTGCTAACAATTTCGCCAGCATGCTAGATGCTCAGTGAGATGGAATATGGCCAAATGTCAAACACCTTGCACACTTACCCAGATGATGTGTCAAGGCTTAGCCTCTGTACTGGCTTGCTCATGTCTTTCACATCCCAGACAATGACTTCACGTGCACGTGACTGTTAACACAGGATCATAGATTAATCATAATTAACAGACATCTCTCTTTGCACCCTCAATTATTATTATTTTAACGTTAAAATTCTGTTGTTGTCACAGGCAACTGGCTCAATTTTAGTGGCCTTTGTTGTCATTAGTAGCAAAGCACATAAAATTGTAGGCGATGCACGGCTGTTCATCTTGTTACCACTGAAAAAGAGGAAAGTTTCCTGTGACAACACCACACGTGTAATTTTAAGGCCAAAACCTTGTCACCAAAGTTCTGCTGCGCCTTATCAACTGATCATCAGAGTGTTATTTCATCATTGTTCACATCATGGCCAAGTTAACTTAAATAATAAGGACTCGATGAGGAAAACTTAGTCATGTTCTCACCTTACTAAAACCAACACCAAGAATCTTGTCTGTGTTTCCAAGCCACAATACTCTGGATTCTTTCATTCCATCAAAGCCATCACATTCCTGTGCACCACAATAGTAATACTGTTTCCTTAGAATTAGGTTAGGGCCAGAGCATTTCAACACAGTCTACACATTTGCCGTAAAGTTTATTTTAATGGCCTCATGGTTAGTGCATTTGTCTCTGGATCAAGCAGTCCAGGTTCGAGCCCCAGCTGGGAACACTGCTTTGTGTTCTTGGGCAAGACACTTAAATCTCGCAGTGCCTCTCTCCATCCAGGTGTACAAATGTGTACCGGCGAAATTAATGCTGGGGGTAACCCTACGATGGACTAGCATCCCATCCAGGGGGGAGTAGAAATACTCCTAGTCGCTTCATGCTACAGAAACCGCGATACGCTCCGGCCTGATGGGCCACTTGGCTTGTATGCAGACTTTACCTTTCTAAATTATTTTAATTTGTAGCAGCCCTCCTTAACAATAACAGCATAACCAAGAGTCATCATCTACAATATATTTAACAAATATATGAATTCTGCCCTATTGTAACAGATGGTTCTGAGTTTTTCTGTTGTTGGAGAAAACATAAAGTGAAACCTGACCAGGGGCCCGTTTCTCAAAGGTCCCAAAATGTTTTCACACCCAGAAAGCCGTAGCAAAATCTCAAACCTTATGATTACAGAGCTGTTTTATTCAAATATTCTTAATATGAACAGAGTTTCTCTTCATACAAGAAGTTTCAGGAGTATAATTACACCTCTCTGCTTGTTAAGATACAGATTAACTAAAAATGGCTTTGCTGACAGAAAAGTTTCCAGGGCTTTTGAGAAATGGGCCCAAGACAGAGAAGGAAGGACCAAAAAAACGTCTAGTGATAAATATAACCAAAGACATTTTGTACCATCACTTCAGACAGATTTCACTTATCAAAGATGATGATCACCAAAACCCTTCCCATCTGTCATTAAATAATCAGCTACCAGTACACTTATTTAAAAAAATAACAAATATAATTATTATTTACTTTACCACAACTACAGAAGAACTACGAGGGTCTAAGATGCGGATCTTTTTGTCCTGCGATAAAGAGAAAACAACAACAGCAGGTAAAAATACTGAGTGACAGTGTTATGTTATAATCAGCTGGTTGATCTGCTTGTGAGTGGTGACAGGTGTGCACACTTGAGAACAGTAGGCTGCTGCCTGTCAAACATGTACCATGGGTGCTTTCCATCCAATGAAAAATCTGATCTGACTTATGATTTTAAAATAACAGACAAAATTCAAACTGAAAGTGTTTGTTACTTTAAAAAACATCGAACTTTGCCACAACTCATTGAGCCAAATGTAACATAGTCAGACGGAAGATCTTCAGACTGAATGAGTTATTGGGAGAACTGTGAAGTTCTTGTGTACAGCATCGCCTGCAGCTCAGGTTAGCAGTTGTTAAGTTTCTGGTCTTCACAGATGGTTACTTGATTAGACATCATATCTACACTGTAAGTTTCATTATAATTGCTTCAATGTTCTTGAAATAATGTAGAGCACAACTACCTCTCCCCCACCCCTTACTCATGGAAGATCAAAAGAACCAGGAGACTGAATAGGGTTTTAAAAAGTGATGAGTAACACAACTGCATACAGTCTCTTAATCCAAAGGCTATAGAAACCAACCTGAACAGATGCCCAATCCTGAAATTTATGTTCAGTATACAAGTAGCCCAATATTGAGAAAAAATAGTACTAACCTTACTAGATGTGACTAGTAAAGAACCATCTCCTTTCCAGCAAAGACTGTGAACCAAATCTTGGTGGCATTCTAAACCTACGCCAAATCATAATGCATCAATCAAAAAGGTATCAAGTGCAACAGTGCATCACAGTGTGAGAGCAAAATTGACAGATCAAACAATGCACTCACTGTATTTTTGTTGTTGCTTCCGTAGGTCCCATATGGATACAGATCTCCCACAAGAACTACCCAGCACCTGATTGTGACAGATGATCCGATTTTAAATATATACCATTTTTAAAAAGCTTGATAAATTCCAATATACCACCCTGGCTCAGGGGACTACATGTAAAACGAGGGAAATCATCTATTCATCTCCCAACCTCAATGATATTTCTTTTGTTTGATTCCCTAAGCCTCGGTATGCTAAAATTTCAATATTTTGAAAATGGCTTTTTGGCAATGCCGTTTTACTGGTGTCACAAGGGTAGAGGGCTTGAATCAACCTTGTTTAGTAACAAACTTTACATTGCTAACTTATTTTAAGTAAATTAGGGATTGTCTAGTATGGGATTGTCTTGTTAAAGCCTTCAATAGCACTTTAATTAGTGTATTATATGCATAATTTATATGCAAGGTGGTAAAAATGTAAAGTGAAAGTAAAGATCTCGTTATGAATAATTCTTAACCTAATAGCTTACCTCACTTGCTGAAGGATGGAACAGGACATTTTCAACACGGCCCTTAAATACCAAAGAACAGACTGAATGTAAATAATGTTATGAACCTAACTTGGTTAAAACTCAAAACTGGCAGACCAGGTGGCTATTTACAAGACAGACCAAGGAGTTGAACAATTGAGAGCAGCACCAGCTAGTGGCCAGAATAAGACTTGAGCCCTCAATCCTTCAAGAACACTTCAAGTCCACCACTTAAACCACTCAGTCACGCTGCCTCTATTAAACTTACTTACAGGTAGTTGTGGTAGAACACAAAGTGGTGATGACACCAGCTCCTTTATTCCTTCCTCTGGAATTTGCCACAATTTTATCTGCAAAAATCAAGCGTAATAGCCAACTTTAGTGGCCAGTGCCATTGTGGAGAATTGGTCATTGTAGAAAGGTTAAATGAAAAGGAACATAGAGACCATCCACTGAGAAATATACAAGTTGTAGAGAGTTCGTTAGTTTAGATTTGACTGTTTACACATCCACTTGAAACAATTCGATAAAACAATGAGTGTTACATCTGATTGTCTCGCAGAATGCTTTTTAGGAAAATGTAAAAAACTTCAATCAATTAATAAAAACTATTGTCTGAACTGTTGAGAATTTAAGTGATAAATTAGTTACTTTAATTAGGTAATAAAGAATTCAATTCTTTTAACAAATATGATATCTCACCGCACAGTCATATGAACAGGTTGAAAGAAGTCTCCCATCAAATGGCGAGAAATCCAGGTCAGTCACAAAATCTAGATATTAAAATATTATTGTACATACAAACATCAATCTACAAATAATTATTACTGGTGTAATGGTTGAACCATGGGCTAGATACATCTGTAACTTGTAAATGTATGTCTTAACACTGAAATAGAAATCCCAGAATAGTGTTATATGACAGATGATAATAACTAAAATACTTTAGACTC